TGCCTAAATGTTCATTGTCAGCTCAAAGCTACAGAAATAAGAAGAAATTAATGTAGGGCTTTTCTTGTAAATTCTATAACTTTGCAAAGAAAGGTCGTGTAGAGCTGGGGGACGTCTCATTTTAATCAGAAATGTGCGGGCTACAATCCTACAGCATTAAGAAAAGGTTTTCGTCATCTTTTAAAGTTTCTAAAAAACTGGTTTTCCAGAAAACCGATCTTTGAAGATCTAGCAGCAGTAGTCATGGTGATATTCGGAATCAGCATGGTTGATTACCTATAGTCAATTAGGGTTTGACTGGAAAACGATTTATAAGCTGGTGGACCTCCCTCGTTAGTACTGTTACCGGAGATGAGTTGGCGCAAAGGAATTTAGTCGTTTTTATTCCACTTCACGACATGGTTATAACTAGATTAGAGGATTATGACGGCGTCCATTATTATTTTTAAACGATTTATTTTTTTCTCCGTTGTCTTTGTTGTTTTGTTACTGTTGATTGTTTTTACTGTTATTTGATGTATGTATTCCTCTTCTGTTGTATACTACATAAATGGGATTTCCATTATCTATGTTCTCTTGTTAAGAGCATACGCAATACACTCTGACAAGTTTTCATCTTGACTGACACGAACCGAGCGGAGCACCAAGAGAAAAGACAGGCAAGAAGTATGTTCTTAACTAAAACCTGACCAAGTGAGAGATCTCTTTCGACTTTTCTTAAACTGTATGAAGATGAAGAGAGTAAGATAAAGGAAATTTCATCTCAAGAGCAACATATGTGTCGATTGCATAAAGAAATAATAAAAGATAGATAGATATAGATAAATATTCGCATCTTACAAAATATCTACGAAGAAATTTGAAACGGAAAATAGTACGGTCTCAAACGTTCGACATATACCGCCTCAGTTACGCGATTATCTGCTACGGATATTATTCGATTATCTATTGCCGTAATTTTGTCGTAAGTAGATCGCAATAATTTTGGACTTCGCGATTTTTCACACATTTATACCTGCCTCTTGTTGTGTGGAAACATTTTTATTTAATTCGTGTTCAACGTTCATATTTTTCGCATGAAGCAGTGAAACCACTTCTGTTGCCTATCCAGATAAAGCATCAATGTTTTGATTTGCCGCTCCTGAGCAATGCTTTACTATTATATCAAACGCATCTAATTTTATACGTCAGCGTGCTAATTGACTAGCGGGATCCTTTAATGTTCTGAACCATGTCAGAGATCGATGATCTGTCCAGACTTCAAACAGTTTTAAGCTTCTCTGAACTCATTCGCTTGCTACATCTATAGTTGAAGTGAATGTTCAAAACGCTGTTGTACAATGGATATTTTCTTATAATTACAATTTTTTCTTACACCAATCTTCGTCTATTAGATTTCCAGGTTTTTGAACTCTTGTGAGAAATGTTGTTTATTAACTCACTCTCACTATCCTGTCAAAACATGAAAATACAGTCCAAATCTTTAGAGTGAAAGTGTACTTCTTTAGTTTTATTAGTTATTTTTTATCAATAAAAGTTTAAACTAACGAGGGAACCTTTCGAGGTGATTAAACGCTTTTTGCTCGAAATCTAGTGGGTTATAGGTTACCGATCATGCTGATTACAAATATGACCGTGGGAGTTGTCCGTAGCCCCTCTAAGATCTGTTTTCTAGAAAACCAGTTTTTCAGAAACTCTGAAATATAACCCGAACCTTTCTTAATGAAGCATGATTATGGCCCGCAAATTTCTGATTAAAATGAGATATCAGGTTGGCAAGAAAGTTTTGTCGTTTTTTTCGAATTTTTATTTTTATTTTTTTTCTTTCAAACATCCTACTAGTTTTCGATGATATATGCTCCATCGCTATCTACTACCTGTCGCCAACGCTCTGGTAGAGAAAAGATCCCGCGTTCGTAACAGTGCGAAGACTTCTGGCTGAAAAAGTCCACCAAGTCCGTTTTGAGTTCGCTTTCGTCATCGAACTTTTTCTCACGCAGGTGATTGGAGAAAGATCGAAACAAATGATAGTCACTAGGAGCCAAGTCCGGAGAGTAAGGTGGATGGGGAATGGTAACCCATCCTAGCTCCAATAGGAATACTCACAGAACAAGAATGAAAATTTCGACGACTAGTTTGGCGTACGAGTCCCAGTCTGTAGTACCGTTTGAATTATTTTCATCGGCAATGAAAGCAGAACGTAAGAAATTGTTTAGAGTTAACAATTTTTGCGGGTCGACTTTGCAACATGGGGCCTTGCGTTATCGTGTAAAAAATAAACCCGATCTTGTTTGCCCTTGAGTTTTTGTGCAACGCAACCCAATTGCTCACAGTAGAGATTGGCGGTGACGGTACATCCATTCGGTAGCAGCTCCCAATGAATGATTCCTTTAACGCCCCACCAGACACTCAACAGCACTTTCTTCGGATGGAGATCGTTTTTCGGTGTTGCTGTATCAGTTTGGCCAACGCCAAGCCATTGACGCTTGCGCGTATGATTAACATACAGCACCCACTTCTCATTACCAGTAATGAGATTGCGCAGCCATTCGTAGTTACGATGAGATGTCAGTAAATCCATACAAACATCAAGCCGGTATTGAAGCTGATGGACCGATAATTCGTGGGGTATCCAAACCCCATATTTCCACGTCTTTCTCAATTCGTTCAAATGTGTTTCGATCGTGGTATGGGAGCATCCGAGCTGCTTTTTGAATCTCTCTCTGAGACAAGTTAATTTCTGTTTCACGATCAACTTGAATTTACAAGAAAAGCCCTAAATTAATTTCTTATTTCTGTAGCTTTGAGCTGACAATGAATAGGGCCCTGTCGAATTTCATGACCATACTCCAATCGAGAAACCAAATACGTAGTTTTGTAGAGCAAGTTCAGACGTCGAATGGTATATAGGAAGCTGTGTTTTCATCCAGTTTTCTGGGAACTAGAGTCCGTTTACCGTTACAGGGCTATGATTCGGATTTTGATATAAGTCTAGTAGATGCTTGCTCAGTATGGATCACACTGCTCATCAGCGACACTTATAAAAAAATTTTTACATATACACTTTGGTAGAGCTCATCTCGGGCTACACGCCTATATATTTGATATCTCCAGTTGATTCGTTTTAAAAGAAAAACAAGAGATTTTTCGTCGAGTCTTCATCGTTCACTATGAATAGCCAGCTTTCATGGGTATCAGTGTAGTGGGGCGTGCCGATCACAAAAGATGTGACCATCCATCAAGTTTTGTCAGAAATTGCCCAAGAGCCAGCCCTACAAAATGCACTGTTTCGAAGCTTTCCAGCAGGGGGGCGTGCTACCCAAACGGCCCTCGCATTGAAATTTTCATTCCAATTTTACGGTCATTTTTTACTTTTTCTTCCCCAAATTTTTTTTGCTACTAAGTGCCACTCATAGTCGAAATCGAAGACTATATTCGTGTTAAGCGTAAAAGACTACATCGAATCTATATCAGAAGCATTTTAGAGAGCCTTTGGATATCTTCGCCGCACATATCCATGATCTGGAGCCTGGATCACAGAGCCCACCCTGTGCTTTGGCTCTGGAAGCTCAGTCGGACGCTTGTTTTGCCAATGTAAGTGCACTCTTTTGTAGAGCACATCAAGGGCCACAAAATGCCTTATCTCACTTCCTATTTTCAGAGTGTTATAGTGCAATAGCGGCTCTTTGATTAGAAAGTACCATGAACCCGTGAATGGCTCAAAAGTCCAATATGCATATTTTCTCAAAATATTGGTTTTAGAAAGAATTGTTTTTCGAGTTTTACCATCAGAGGTTGTTGGTCAAAATCAGAAAGCTTTAATGTAACAGACTGAGGTCTTCTTTTCTATCTATAACGCACACCATGGGAGGACGATCATCGGCCACGATGCTCCTTTTTATTTGTCCAAACAGTAACAAGAACATGAATATTTTCAATTGTCACAGTTATAGTGCGTTTTTGTTGGTTGTAACATGTCATACAATGAGAATCTTTTCTTTGAATTTATCTGTCCTTATGGGTGGCTTTCATTCATTGTGTCATCTTATCAATGATTTTATATTTGAGCTGTCACACGCTAAAACTACACCACTTCTTAGTGAGAATGACACTAATTTGCTTGAAGATGATTATATTAGTTGGACTAGATGGATCTTAGAGCAACTTAAACAAATGACAACACGCGTTTCTCCTCGGATGCATTCATCAAAACATCGGACACCATTTGAAGCTATATATTTATTTTGGGTTAAATTGAAATCTGGTTTATCGTTTCGACAGATTGGTACTTCATTCAAAATTGACACATCGGAGGATAGTATTCGGCGTCGTGTCGAGGACACATTTCATGTCGTCATGCGTAACCTCAATGACACAGTTGTTTCGTCTCATCTCGGACTTAGTCATTGAACTCGAGCCGACGCATTGAGTCATCACACGGCCAATTCGAAAGTCTTTTTCGGCGATCATCTGTCACTTATTTGGGATGGTACTTATCTCTATTGTCATAAGTCAAATGACCACGAACTACAACGCGCGTGCTATTTCGAACATAAATCACGACATCTCGTCAAAATGATGAGTTTAGTCTTTCCCGATGGTTATGTACTGGATTTGATCGCTCCATTTTACGGAAAAAACAATGACGCTTCGATTTCAAGTGCTATTTTGAACACGTATACAGATACGTGTCTTGGAAAAAGAAGAGGAGCAGAATGCTGTTGATCAAGATATATCAGTCGATCTTGTCGAGACGTCGGTCGAAACCGATAAAGAAAATGTTAATATAGGTCATGAACAAGTGGTAGCAGGTGAAAACCCTTTTTCTTTAACGAGGAGATTTATGATTCTGTATTTGATTGTTTCACAGTCAAACATATTCATCAAACCGATTCGTCAATATCATTGACCCAAACGAGTTTTATTGTTCAAACACCACAACGGAAAAAACTGGTGGAAAATACGAAAAGTAAAATTCTACCTGTATGACTTTGCGTTGTCTTTAACGAATAACTTCATCTTCTAGTTTCATCAATACCAACTCCAAGGAAAAAGCTGTCAAGTGGATACCAAAGATCGAAAAATCTCGTCTGATGCTAACCGTCGCTGCTGCTTCTACACAGCGATAGCTTCATTTAGCTACATCGACAAAAACTGCCGTTGCAACTACATCAACACCAAAAATTGTTGAAGCACGAAAAAGTGTACCAAATCAACGAGAAAATCTAGCAGAACCACGTAAAAAAACACCTAAAGGACAATTTCTGTCCTCAATTGGTACGGAAGATATTTAGAAACACTGCACTTATTTAGGGGAAATAAATTATGAACGAATATGAGAAGCACAGCAGCTTGTTTGAATTGCACTATTCTAATTATAAAAGACGTTTGACAATATAGTTGTCATTGTTACGAGAAACCACGTAACATAAGAGAGATTTTATCAATCAAATTGGAATTGTGACAAATTGGAAATGTGACTTTTGTGTAGTATGTTTCTGTACTTGCATGAGAGAAACAACTATACATAAAGAAGTTTTTTTAATAGAAAAGTAGATGTGCTTATTGAAAGTATAAAAGAAATCGAATACCATACATGTGCCTCAATTCAATATATTTAATAAAAAAGACTAGCCATATAGAGTTTTTGCTTTTGCACATACGTCAGATTAGTTTTGTATTTTTGCTTGTATATTTCAAGGTTATACAGTTCATTTCATTCAACACTATGTATGGTATACACTTTCTTTTATGCTTTCGCACATATATCTAGTTTTCTATTAAAAAAACTTCTTTATGTAGTTGTTTTCTCTCGTGTAAGTACAGAAGCATACCGCACAAAAGTCACATTTTCAATTTGATTTATGATAAACATCGCTCTTATTGTTACACGTGTTTTTACAAACAAATTCGATTATTGAGATTCTGAACGCTGTTTTTCAGAAGATTTAGAAAAATAGTTCACAGCCTAAACGTTTTACGTAGGAATCTATCGATTTTTTTTCATGGATCGATAGTCCAAAGTGTCCTCTACAAAATAAGATCTTGGAAAAGGTTTCGTTTTCCTTGGTTCGGATGCTTTTTCTGGACCCTAGGACTTCTGTATTTTTCGGCCTAGGATCATCACGAATGCGTGAAACGGGATATCGAACACGCTAAACCTCATGGCCATGTTAGTTTTCAGCACGAAATTCAACAACCGTGCGAAATCCTATACTAGATGAAATAACCCATTTTAAGCTATGTTCAACAAAAATAAAAAACTCATAACTCAGTCAAAATCCATCCAAACTAGTTCAGAACGTTAAGATATGCTCTATTTAATCTGCTCAATCTAATTCTATACTTAAGATCAACAAAAAAATATTCTCTTAGTTCGAAAGGTTCCTGGAAAACGTTTCAAAGACCAAAGTATTTTCTGTTGGACTTTAAAACATTTATCCAACTTTATGGTATACTGCAGCTAAAATAGAGTATATCTTGACATTCTGAATTAGTTTGGATGGATTTTGACTGAGTTATGAACTTTTTATTTTTGATGAACATAGTAAAAGATGGGTTATTTCATCTAGTATAGGTTTTCGCTCGGTTGTTTTCTCTGATTTTTTAGCACAAAACATAAATTAGTTTTGCAGTTCAGATCTGTATGTTTACATGATCGGAAATCATTTTGTCACTTTCTGAGGGGCTTTTGTTTCTATGTAATTATATCAATCGGTACAATACATCACGAGTGGTTCTGCACCGTTTGCAGCAGCATACTGAGCAAAAATGAGGCACGTAAGAGAATATTAGGTTTCATTTAAGGTGGCTGCTCTTTCCCGACGCAAGGATAAATTCCTTCGCTCCTTTTCGTGTTCAGCAACTCTGCGACTTGTTTGCCTAATACTTTTCGCGATATATTTACTCGAAGACCTTTACAATTAATTTATAACAATTTGTATCACTGATTATAACAAGTCCATTTTAATCGTTACGTAAGCAGCATAAATAATACGTAAATATCTACAAAAAACCACCTCAGCTACCCCAATTAGATGTATATCCTTCCTTCTCTGTGGCTGCAGAATCATTTATTTGCTGTGATTCGCTAATGATAGGAACTCATTAGGTAGAATTACGCAACTTGCTGTAAAAAGCAAAAAAATTCTCTCTTCATTCAAATTCCCAAATAAATTATTCTGCTAAAGCCGTCTTATTTGACAATCCGAAACAATATAATGACTCTTTTACAACTCTAACGTTGCCCGACGCTTACTCTCTCTGTTACCATCAAGGAATACTGAAAAAAAATTTTCTAATGTAGCGAGAGCGATAGCTTTTGTACGCATTACATTCTCATCGATTTGGTTCCAAGCAGAGATGTGGAACTAAACTCACGCTCGTCGGGTACGGGTTAGCCTCTTGCAAGACTTACCACGCCAACTAGAAGGCTTTAGTAGAAAACCACATAGTTTAAGGTCCAAAGCATGAAATTTTGTCTAAAACCTGAAAAGTTTGAATCAAAAAGAAAAAACTTTTTTTGAGTATAAGTCGGATATAGGTCTAGGAATCGTATCCGCGTACATCTCTAGCTTTTAAAAAGGATTTTCCCTTGAGGCTACATTTTGAAAAAATCACGAAAAAAATGCATGAGTTCTGTTAATGATTTGTGGTATTTAAGTTTTTCCCACTGAAATCCAATCAAAAACAATTTTCGGTATCATTCTTGACGTTCAAACTTTGCTCTTTCCAACATCAAAATAATATAGAAATAATTCTCTGTATTAGTTTGTGGGTGGCGAGTATCATTCTAAGCTATTATGATGTCTCTTTACTGTAGCGCATTTTATGTCCTTTATAGCATTTTTGATCTCTACTTAACCTATAGCCATATGAGCCACACCGACTCACTCGTACGTCCAATTACATTTGAACGACTTACTGTTGACACTATTGTGTTTCCGACAGGCACCAGTTTATACAGTCTTTTATAACAGTGTTTCAATCTGTTTGCCAGATGCACTGTAAATAACATGTTATGCCGCATGCGCGATAATAATAATCAAAATATAATTACGATAAGAATGGCGGTTGATGCCATATTGATAAAAATGTATTTTTTAAGATTTTTAATTCTTATGTAAACTAAAATACAGGATACAACCCGTTATATTGAAATTACTATTAAGGGTTTGAGTGGCAATCACGGTCATGGATGATTGCACCTAAAAATGAAGCCTCAAAAAATGCAAAAAATAACCTGTAGTTTTATTTTTTTTCATGCGCTTTCCTCCACGTATGAGAGTTCGTTCGACAAACGGTAGTATACCTGTTTGGCTGTAAGAGCACAAGGTACCAAAAAAACAAACAGACGTTTGCTCCCTTTTTTTGTCTTCTCTACGGTCCTAAAGATGTACTTTACAGTACTAGCAGTAATTGGTGTTGCCTTCTTATCGACGACGTCAGTAGTTTCAGATGACCTGCTCGCCGGGCGCGCGACTCCTTGCCCAGCCAACTTTGTTAAAGGTAAATACTTCGACCGGTTCTTCACTATCTGGCTGGAGAACGAGAATGCACAGGATGTCTCCGAAGATCCGTACTTTGCTAAGCTTGCTTCGGAAGGAATTCTCCTTAGCAATTACAAAGCTATCGACCATCCAAGTCAGCCTAATTACATTGCTGCGACGAGTGGGTTTCCATACATCACCACAGACAATAGTGTTACCCTTGACCGGACGAACATTGCCGACTTACTTGAGGGTAAGGGTATCAGCTGGGTCGCGTACGTTGAAGCTTACCCTGGTAATTGCTACACTGGTACATCGGAAAGGACGTACTATCGCAAGCATACGCCATTCATATCGTACAGAAATATTCAGCAAAATTCGACACGATGTGCAAAAATTAAGAACGCCACTGCGCTAGCGAGCGATATCAAAGATAATCGAGTCCCTCAATACGTCTTTTACACTCCAGACATTAACAATGATGGTCACGACACCAACATTTCGTACGCAAGCAACTGGCTCAAAAGATTCATGACGACAAACTCCGGCTTCTTCAAAAGGAGCAATACGGCTGTCATAGTTACATTCGATGAGTCAGAGAATAAGGACAACAAGGTCTTCACTTTCATTTATGGAGGAGCTGTTCCCACCTCGAAGCAAGGGCTGAAGCTGTCGACCTCGTACAATCACTATTCTCTCCTCAGCTCAGTTGAGAAAAACTGGGGTCTTGTAAGCCTTACTTCTCATGATGCAAACGCAAAATCTTGGGCGTCTCATTTGGTCAGGAGCTCCAGGTACTGCTCGTAGTCTTCCAAACATCCAATCGAACTATACACTATGGGCGTTTCATCTCGAGCAAACAAATAAACAGTGATTGAAATGTTCTGAACTTCTTTACTGGAATTGTTCCTGAGCGTTTTCAATAATTTATGGATTCTTAATGTAAAAAGTAAAAACAAGATATAACCCTTTCACTGAAACTACTATTAGAGATGTGAGTGGCGATCACGATCTTGTCAGAAATTGAACACGAGTTGAGAAAGAGCTAATATTGCTATTTCATAATTTATTATTAATCGGTTTTCTTTAGTCTCTTTACATCCAAATATACAGCAAAAATTATCACGAAGCTGGCTAGACTAAAATCATTTGAAGAGCCAAATGTTCCTTTTCTGTGTTAAGAATAATGCGACGAAATCCTATGTGTTTAGCAAGAACAGTAAGACATATTGAGCAACACTTGGCCGATACGAAATAGATCAGATTTGATTAAAAGGGAAGATACTTTAATTTCGTATTTTATTAAAACAATTTAAAAATATTTATAACAAATATATAAGACAATCAAACGTTTCGACCTGAAGAAGACCTCAATTTAAAAGAGGCCGAAACGTTTGATTGTCTTATATATTTGTTATAAATATTTTTAAATTGTTTTAATAAAATACGAAATTAAAGTATCTTCCCTTTTAATCAAAGAACAGTAAGAACAATTGTCACTTTCATTACTATCTTTTAGGAAGTGAAAGGGCGCGGGCGATTATCTGATGAAATCGGCCCATGTTCGATTTCATCGACTGATCAAAATCTAGGTGTAGAATGAAGAGGGGAATATTTCTAGGTACTTACTACACCTTAGAAGCACTCTTAGAAGAAAGTTGGCCGAATCAAATTTCATTAAGTTTCTCCTGCATCTGATACATATATATTATAGATCGTAGTTTTGGATCTTTTTCTCTCAGTTTTAGGGAGCATTTCAAAATTCTTGCCGTTCTCTCTGCCGCTCTGCCGTTCTGCCGCTCTGC